TTGTATCCACAGTGCTTAATACAGTGTTTGGTACATAGTAGATACTTAAATGTTTATTGACTATTGGTTATTTAGGCTGCGGGGTTCGTCACATGCATCTCTGAGATATTGTCAAGTCAAGCCAGTGGTATTTCTGTCTTCCCTCTCTGTAATTCTTCCTTGAGCCTTCCCAGTCAAATGTTGGCTCTTGAGAACAAGGACTGCTTCTGTTTCCATCTGTGTATTCCCATCAGCCAGCACATTATCTGGAATATAGTAGATACTCACTAAATGTTTATTGAATTTCAACTTCTTACTTTCTTTCTTTCCCCTGTTGCTTTTATTTATCATAGGACTATAGATACCTAGGGATGGAAGAGTCCTTTCCAAGAGATCATCAGATCTACTGCTTGCTTCAAAGGAAAACTATGTTCATGCTGTCCCAGAAAGAGAACCATCTCTCCCTTTCTTACAAGAGTCTCTGAGGGGCATAGTTCCTCTAAATACCAACCTCAACTAATTCCTCCACCTCTTCCCAAATACCCCCCCATACCCTCCTATTAGGAAAAATACTGGATTCGGAAGGAGGAGCCTGCATTCAAAGTCTCGTTCTGCAACCACTTCCTATGTAATCCTGGCCAAGTCCCTTCCCTTTCTGAGCCTGTTTCTATATCTGTCTAATGAGGGGATTGCACAAGATCAGAGGTTCTTAAGCTTTTTTATGCCATGGACTCCTTCAGCAGTCTAATGAAGACTATAGACCCTTTCTCAGCATAATGTATTAAATATATAAAATAAAATGCATAGGATTAAAAAAAAATACATTGAAATAAAGACATATTTTCCCCATCCAAACGAACAGATAGCTCCCCAAATCCATTTGCAGACCACTTGGGGGTCTGTGGACCCAGGTTAAGACCCCCTGGATTAGGTGATTGTTAAGGTACCTTCCAACTGTAAATCCTTAAGTTCTAAATCTCTTCTAATGGAAAACATCTGTGAGTCACAGGAGCTGAGAGGGGGCCCCAGAGATCTTGACCTTGCCTCTCATCAAATGCCTGAGGGCCTCTCTCATATGATTACATTGCTTAGGGGCTTCAGGGAACTCTAGTCAGCAGGCTCTAAGGATGAGCTCATGGCTTTCCATAGTTTTCCCTTATATAGCTTTCATTCCTATAACAAGTTTGGGCTAGGAGACAGAAGGAACAACTTGGCCAGGAGGCTCATTCCTTCCCCTTGAGCCCTGGTGCATTCAGTTCATGAACCATCTCAGCTAATTAGCTGTCCTTCCTTGGTCCTCATGTGTACTGGCGGCCAGCTTCCTCTCCTGCCAACCCATATGTGGGCCCTTTAAAAACCTCAGTGGCTTCCATGCCACCTCCTTCCACCCAGTGATGCCATTTCCCAGGTCAAGACTATGCAGTTCAGGCACCCACGTCTTCACTGCTTTCATTTGCATAGGGATTCAGCCCATTCACTGGCAGCCTCCCTCGCCTGGCTAATTACCCAGCTGCAGTCTCTGTCTGCCCATCTCTGTCACTGTTCCGCCTTCACATTCAACCTCAGCTGGAAGCCCAACTCCTAGCCTGCCTCTGGTCTCTCTGAAATCACTAACAAGCACTTATTAAGCAGGGCACTAATGTCGGGCATTGTGCTATGTCCTTTACAAACATTATCTCATTCCATCCTCACAACAACCCCGGGAGGAAGATGCTATTATGATCCCCATTTCGCAGATGAGGAAACTGAGGCAAACAGGGTTAAGTGACTTGCCTAAGGTCACACAGCTAGGAAGTCTCTGAGGCAAGATTTGAACTCTGGTCCTCCTGACTCTAGGCCCAGGACTTTATTCACTGCATCATCTAGCTGCATCTATGACTTAGATAAAGACATAGAAGTCAATTGTGCTCATCAAATCTGTAAATGACACAAAGCTGGGGGGGCTAGCTGACTTGGAATCACAGATGCAGGATCCAAGAAGACCTTAATAGTTGGGAATATTGGGCTGAATCTGACAAGATGAATCAATGCAGGTTCGAAAAAGCAAACTCCAAGTACAAAATGGGGAGGGGAAAGAATAGTTGGAAAGCAGTTTGAAAAAGATCTGGAGGTTTTAGTGGACCCTAAATTCCATAGGATTCAAAAGATGGAGCAGTCCAAAAGTCTAATGCAATCTTGGAGCTCCATGGAGTTCTAGCTAGCAGGAATGAGGAACTAAGACTCTTTCTCTCTCTCTCTCTCTCTCTCTCTCTCTCTCTCTCTCTCTCTCTCTCTCTCTCTCTCTCTCTCTCTCCCTCTCTCTCTCTCTCTCTCTCTCTCTCTCTCTCTCTCTCTCTCTCTCTCTCTCTCTCTCTCTCTCTCTGGTACTGTCTTTCTCTTTTCTGCACAGTTATAGCAAGAATAAGGAATACTATCCTCTTCAGACCACATCTACAGTAATCTGTTCAGTTCTGGGGGTTGACAATGGCATTGATAAGCTGGAGAGCATCCAGAAGAGAGCAACCAATATGGTCAATCAGTTAGTCAATAAACTTTAAGTGCCTACTATATGCCAGGCAATGTGATGAGTTCTGGAAAAAGTCCTTGAGTCCATGTCCTGTGCAGATTGGTTGAAAGAACTGGGGTTATTTAGACTGGAGAAAAGAAGACTGAGGAAGTAGAGGGGCAGGGTGAGGAACTTGACCACTCCGTCCAAGTATTTGAAGGGTTAGTGTGTGGAAGAAGGGAGACTAGTTTCGTTTTTCCGCAGGGGACAGAACCCACAGCCATGGGTGGACATTTCGAAGAGACAACTTTGGGTTTGATGTGGGGAGCTTTCCCGAGCTGTCCAAGAGTTCAGTGGGCTCCCTAAAGAGGTGCTGGCTCCCCCTTCTCAAGGGTCTTCACAAGCATAGGCTAGTGACCATTTGTTGGCTTTCATCACGAGGATTCCTTGTGAGCATGGGTTTGACTAGATGGCTGATAAGGTCCTTGCTATGCCTTAAAATCTGTTACTCTCTCCTTCCCAGAGCTGGGTGTTATTTCCCCAATGGCTTTCACCCTGAAGCCCCTTATTCTGAAAGTCAGTTCACTGAGAGAAGGGACCAGCTGAAAGGTATGTGTGAGTCACCAGTTACTCTCTTAGAAAACATGTCCTAGCCACCTTTGGGAAGATAGCTGTTGAGAGCAGATGACAGGCAGCAAAGGGATTTTAAAATAACTCTCTAGCACGGCCATGTGGATGTCCCGTATCTGTTTTTCCCTCCTGCCCATAACATTGCTCACCCCCAAAGAGGGGGAGCTCAGTCAACCACCAGGAATGACTGACACCCAAGCTTTCTATACCCTGTCCCCAGACCTGGGCCAGATCTAAACCAGGATAAAACAACCAGTTCTCCAACAGACAAGAACTGGTTTTGTCTAGGTTCTCTCCAGATGGTTCATTAATTGGCAGGCAATATGGTAGCTTGCAAAACAAGGAATATTTGTTAAAATGGATTTGGGAGAATGAAGGAATCGGGCAAAAGAGAGGACAGATGGAGGAGAAGCCAAAGAGGAAAGAAGGCACATAAGAATGGTAGTCACAGAGAAAGGCCAGGAAGAACTAGAGAGACTGAGAGAAACACTAGAAAGAACCTTTCTTTGTAAGGTTCGTAGTAATGAATGGCTTGGGAAGCACAGCATGAGTGAGAGATTTGTAAAGATGAATGACCATAACTAATAGTCCCAGTGATAAGTATTAATAGATCTGTCGGAAGAGAAGAGACAAGGTACAGAGGAGAGATTGTTATGGACCACGGGACAGGAGGGTAGGGCTGGGGGTGGGCACTTGGGTATCATGCTCTCATGGCCAGTCACTAAGAGGAGACTTCTGGCAGCACATCAAGGCTCCATTGGCTGGTGTCTCCATCGCCATTATCTTTCTGTGATGGCCACCATCACCTACTAGAGTTGAATGTGCAAGTCACACCCCCCAGAGGCCGGTTTTCTGTTGTTGCTGAGTCATTTTCAGTCTTGTCTGAGTCTTTGTGACCCCATTTGGAGTTTTCTTGGCAAAGACAGTGGAGCGGTTTGCCATTTCCTTCTCCAGCTCATTTTACAGAAGAGGAAACTGAGGCAAACAGGGTGACTTGCCCAGGATCACAATGTTAGTAGGTGTCTGAGGCTAGATTTGAACTCTGAAGACGAGTCTTCCTGATTCCAAGCCCAGAGCACTATCCATTGTACCACCTAGCTGCCCAACTAGACTATTTTGTTTCCCCCAAAGCACCAAAGTGGTTTAGAAGTGAGTTGTCTTACATAATGATCTGCCTAGAGTGGATGCTTAATAAAATGTTGAGTGATTGAACCTCCTCATTTGTAAAGTTTTAAACAGAGTGATAATGACAGGGGTGGGGCAGGTCTGCAACCAGAGAAGCTGGATCCTTATAAGAACTGGAGGTTGCTAGAAATCTGGAAGATTGTAAACTTCTTTAAGGCAGAAATTCTTCCTTTTCGTCTCTGTGTCCTCAGGGCCCAGCATGAAGCCCGGTAGTAATAGGCGCTTAGTGCTTTTCCAATTGAGTCAAATTGGCAGAAAGCCAGGAAGAAAGGGCTTTGCATTTTCGAAGTCCTTTTAGTTGGGAGATCTCCCGATAATGACATTCTCCTTTTTCCTCACTCTTCTTCTCTTCCCCCACCACCCCCTTATAACCTTCTCTTTTTCCCACTTCCCCAGACCATCAGCTTAGGGTGCTGAGCAGACTGCCAGTCTGATGGCCCCAGCTTTCTAAGGCAGGGCAGGCAACGAGGACCCAAAAGAACTGCCTCTCCTCCCCACCCCAACTCACCACACAGCTCCTAGCTGTCAGCAGGGGTAGCTCAGGGCAGGAGAGCTGCAAATCCTGACACTCTGAAGGGCCTGATAAGCCTCTCCGGGACTGCAGACTGGAGCCGGGGCTCATGTTCTGGATAAGATCAATAAGTCAAGCTGTCAGCTCCTCAGAGACACCTCCTGCTTTCCATTAGGCGCTGGCCTGCCCCGTGGCTCTCCCATTCTCTCCCTTTGCTTTCTGATGTCTGGCCCCTGCCATGCCCTGGCTCCCCTTGTGGATCAGGACCAGTTCCGGGGGGATGACCTTGGAGACATCATTCGAAGACCAGAGAGCAATGGGGTGGTAAGGAAGGACATTCTATTACTCTGTATTTAGATGCCCACAAAGCACCTTGTCTGGGTGGGGATAAAGGACACTAGTTAGTGCCTTAAATTTACCTCCTTTTACCCCCTCCTTCCTCTCCCAGGTGCTCACAGTATCTGTGTATGGCAGGTCCAGGGGGAGGGCACTGTTCATAGAAGACAGAATGCTGGGCATGGAGTCAGGTCATGTGCCTAAGGCTCGCTAGCTGTGTGAGTCAAGCACATCACTGAATGAGCCTCCAGGCTTATTCTGTCCCATCTTCTCCAGCAGACTGCCCCCTGTATCACCCCCACACTCACTTTTCTTCAAACTTTCCATGTCTACTGGCAGCTTCCCTGATGCCTACAAAACTTGCCCATGTATAAACCAATCTCAAAAAAATCTATTCCCACTAGCTGTCATTTCATATCTCACCCCACTGTTGTGGTTAAAATCTTAGAGAACGTTGTCTATAATTGCTGTCTTTCCTCTCACTCTTTTCTTAACTCTCTGCAATCTGGCTTTCTACCTCAACCACTCAACTGAAACTAGGCTCTCCAAATTTACCAGTGGCCTTTTCATCAACAAATAGAATGGCCCTTTCTCAATCTTTCCCCTCTCTGACGACCTCTTTGGAGTCCTTGACACCACTGATCACCCTCTTCTTCTTGAAATTCTTCTCCCTAGGTTTTCATGACACTCTTCTGGTATTCCTCTTCCCCACCTGACTGCTCTTTGTCTCTTGCTGGTGACAATGGGGAAGAATCTTCATAATAGGTCACACTTTTAACCATGGTTATTCATTCCCAAGTCTCTGTCTTGGGACCATCTCTCTTCTCCCTCTATACTTATTTCACTTGGAGATTTAATCAGTCCCTGTGGTTTTGACTATCTGATGATTCTCTGATGTATTTGGCTGGCTCAAACCTCTTTTCATAATCTTCAGTCTTGAGTCTGCAATTGCCTATTGGAAATTTCAAACTGGACATCTTAAATTCAACGTGTCCAAAATGAATTCATTTTCTTTCCCCTTAAACCCCTTCCTTGTTACTGTCGAGGGTCCTGCCATTCTTCTTGCCTCATTTCCCTCCCTGCTCCATTCGCCCTCCCCTCAGATGTCAAATTGATCTTTCTAAAGTGTAGCTTTGACCTTATTCCCCTCCTAGTCAACCAACTGACTCCCTATTGCCTCCAGGATCAAACATTAAATCTTCTGTTTGGTTTTTAAAGCCCTTCGTTACCTGCTTCTCCACCACGACTTCTTCCTTACACACACACACACACACCCCATGTACCCTGTAAGCCAGTGACACTGGCTTCCTTGTTGTTTCTGGAACTTGACACTCCACCCTCCAATTCCAGACATTTTCATTTGCTGTCCCAATTTCCTAGCACTTTCTCCCTCCTCAACTCTGCATCCTAACTCCCCTCTCTTCCTTCAAATACCAGTTAAAATTTCACCTTCTACAAAAAAGCCTTTTCCTAATCCCTTCCACTCTATCATTTCCAATTTTCCCCGTATTTAACTTTTTTCATCCCTAGCTGTTTTCATGTCATGTCCCGCATGAGACCGTGAGCTCCATGAGATCAGGGACTGTCTTTTTGCTTTTCTGTGAATCCCTGACACTTAGAACAGTATCAGCACTTAAATGCTTGTTCACTTTCTGAATAAGTGCCTCTGCTTTCCTCATCTGTAAAATGGGATCAATAATACCAGTAGTGGGTATGTAAATTGGCCGGTGGAGAGGCCCAAATGAAATGATCTGCAGTAAATGCTGTACAAACTTTAGAGCTTCAACAAAGGCCAGCTTTTACCACAGTGGAGAGATTACAGATTTAGAATCAAGAGAGACCCGGGCTCTAGTCCCTTCTCTCTAACACTTAGTAGGTATTTGACCATGACCATACCAACTAACCTCTCAAGGCGCTTTTCATTTTCAAAGTCCCTCTGCTCTGGGGATCTCCAAGCACTTTTGATACTCACTACCTTCCAAGTAACCCCAAGCAAGTTATTTTACCATCCAATGCTTCGGTTTCCTCACCTGTAACAGGAGGGGATTGGTCTGAGAATCTACAACTGTTGTTTTTCAATCCTGTCCAATTCTTCCTGACCCCATTTGGGGTTTTCTTGGCAAAGATCCTGGAGTGGTTTGCCATTTCCTTCTCCAGCTCATTTTACAGATGAGGAAACTGAGGCAAACAGGCTGAAGTGACTTGCTCAGGGTCACACAGCTAGTAAGTGTCTGAGGCTGGATTTGAACTCAGGACTTCTTGACTCCAGGTGTTCCATCCACCACGCCACCTGGCTACCCTGGGTTGACTACTACAATATCACAATGAGGGCATCAGAGAAATGGAGACCAAAGACTACGAGACATCAGATGGGGAAATTTTCCTGAAGGAGGTGTCATCCGAGTTGGCCTTAAAGGATTGGTGGGAATTCAACATACAAAAGGCATTCAATGTTTTAAAACCTGAAACAAGCCTGGCTGATCGAATTGTATTGGTGGATGTCTTTGGTGGCATAAGCAAGCGCTAACCACAGGTATATTTCATCTGCGTGGAAAAAAATCGTTTTTATCCCGTAGACCATAGGATCCAAAAAATGAATCGTTATCCCAGGAAAATTCACACAAAAGTTTCTCAAGGATTCTGTCAACTGAGATTTCAGCTGTGGGTCCCTCGGGAGCCAGAGTCTGCTAGCTGTCCCAGGGATGAGGAGGGCTCAGGGAATCCAGCGTGCCATTTGCTCATATCCTGGCTGTGTTTCTCAGTGCAGAAGGGAAGTCATGAGGGCAGAACATGCTCAGGGCCTGAAGTGGTGCTTAAACCCCAACCCCGGGATTCCTCCCTGGCTCGCCAGCTCACTCACAAGACAGGATGGTCCCAGGTAAGACACACTCCCCTTTGCAGAGAGGCCTGTCAAATCCCAGGATGGCAAGCCACATGGCTAAAACTATTTCATTCTGAAAAGAAGACAACCACTCTCTAGAAATGCCACCCCAAGCCCTGCTGCTTATCCCCTAGAAACAATCTGCAGGACAGCAGAAGGGGAAGGTGGGCCAAAGTGGCCAAGGGCAGGGCTTAGATGGGCACTTGGATGGACATGTGCAAGTGCACACATATGCTCACACACACACACACATACACACACACACACACACACACACACACACACACACACACGCTTCCTCATCCCATCAGCTTGGATGTGCTCTTCCCCCTTCCCAGAATGACCAGGTATTTGCTCGGTGTGCCTTGCAGTTACTTCCCATGTATAAATTGCTTCCTTCCAGGAAGAATGTAAATGCCCTGAGGTCAGGAATTATTTCATGTATGTCTTGGTGAGCCAAGCACCAATCTTGGGACACAAGAGAAGGCATCTCTTGAAGCTTCTTGAATGGGATTCGCCAGCATCCATTCCCGGGCTCTGGCTGTGGGAGCTCAACCAAGTCACCTCACATCTTAACACCTCAGTTTTCCCATCTACTAAATGAGGGAATTGGACTAGATGATCTCTAAGGGCCCCCCAACTCTGACATCCTATGTTCCAAGGGCCCCCCAGCTCTGACATCCTGTGTTCTAAGAGCCCTCCCAGCTCTGACATCTTGTGTTCTAGGGCCCCCCAGCTCTGACATCCTGTGTTCTAAGGGCCCTCCCAGCTCTGACATCCTGTGTTCTAAGGGCCCCCCAGCCCTGACATTCTGTGTTCTAAGGGCCCTCTCACTCTGTTCTAAGGGCCCTTCCAGCTTTTCTACTCTATCATATTAGGGCCCTTCCATGTTTGACATTAAGATTTCTGTGTTCAGTGAAATCCTGTTTCAAGAGCTCAGAGCCAGCAAAAGATTCCTTATTATCTGGCAATATCCCCACCGAGGGACTGGGGTTGAAAGCCATTCTGGCTCCCACTGCCGGCGACTCGGTGGTGTGGCGCCCCAACCCTCCGGTTCCAGAGCTCAGCTGGCTCTCCCTGAGCTCTTCCTACCTCTCACCCACACAATAATAGCTGGGAGGCCCAAGCCCAGGGAGAAGGGGGCAGAAAGAGAAGAGCTAGAAAGGCCAGTCCTGAAAAGGAAAGAAGCGGCCAGAGAGGTCAGTTATCACTCCAGCACATGACGGGCATTTTTCTCACAGGGCCCCCCACATCGATTTCCCCATTCGCCTCCTCACCCTTGGGCGGGGCTCAGCTATCAGGGAAGGTTCCAACAAATGCCAGACTTTTTTTGGAGAGGGGCTGCTGTGGGAGGGAAAGTGGTCTATGACCTCCTCCATGAAACCATCCCCAGGTGACCTCACTGCTCAGGCCTGCACTTCCTGGGCTCACATTCCTTGCTGAAGAGCCTCTCTCCCGTGCCTTGGTTGACTCCCAGTTCTTTTTAGGAATGAAGGGTCTAATTTTAGTGCTCTGACCCTCAACACCTCAAAAATAGTCTCTTATTTCCCCTCTTGTCACTGTCCCTTCCTCTGCAGAAGGTAAATCCCAGAACTCAAAAGTTGCTGAGGGGAAGTGTGAGATTTTGTAGGGTTGTGGAAGCAGGACAAGGACCCACATTCCTCCCGTGCTTGGGTTATGGGAGGTCCTAGAGAGCAGGCCCAGCAGTCAGTCTCATAGACTATTAAGGCTGGAAGAGATCCATCTTGTTCAAACACCACAATTTACAGGGCAGGAAACTGAGACTCAGGGGGTTCATCTCAGTTGCCTGTGGTCATCACCTCACAAATATGCAAGCCTATGCTCCAAGTAACGCTGCCCACCTCTTGGACCCCTTATTATATTACATTTTAACACAAGCTTAGCCCCATTGCCCCTGCCCAAACTGGTTTTTTTCCACATCAATGCAGAGCTCTTCCTCATCCACTCCCAATCTATCTTTCAGTCTTCTTGTATATTATTCTCTTTTCCACCCCTTTTGGTCCAGACTGACTGGCCTTCTCCCTGTTCCATCCCCCACAGAGACTTGGTACTGGCCGTCCGCCATGCTGGAATGCACTCCCTCCTCAACCCACTCAGAACTCAGCCACAGGAAGCCTCTTTCGGATCCCTCTGGCCCCTAGTTACCTTGTATATATTTTGCATATTCTGTGTGTGTAATTATATGTGCACATGTTTTCTCTCCCCATTGAAATATAAGATTCTCAACCTACCTGACAAGTGGCCATCTAAACCTCTTGCTAGAATGAAGGGGAACCCAATACCTGCCAAGGCAGCTCATTGCTCTTTGGGACAGTTCTAATTGTGTAGAAGTTTTCCAGCCCCTCAAGTCTGAATGGGCCTCTTTATAACTTCCACCCACTCGTCCATGAAGAAACATGGACGCTCAACACATTATCTGTGGCTACGGCTGATTTTCCAGAAGCACCTTCCCCTGCCAGGCCCAAGAACACCATTACTTAGCAGGAGAAGGATCCTCTCTGATTGAACCATCAGTAGGCTGAAGTGATTGGCTACCCCTGCTGGTGGGAGCCTTAGTAATTGGTGCCAACTCCATTCCGTAGTGCTCAGTGCTAGGGGAAGGCAGCTCATTAGAGTCTGAGTGACTTGTTGGGAAATAGTCCAAGAAGGATCAAGAAAGAAAGCTTAAGTGGGCCAGTGCTGTCCTTCATTGGCAATCAGAACAAAGGCCCTCTCCCTAGATCAGGGGCTCTTAACTTCTTTTATATGTCATGGACCCCCTTGGCGTCTAGTGAAGCCCTCAGGCCCCTTCTCATGATAATGCTTTTAAACACATAAAATTAAATAGATCGAGTTACAAGGGAAATCAATCATATCGAAATTGAGCTATTTTTAAAAGCAAGGTCACAGGTCCCTAGAGAGACAGAAGGGGAAAGGGAACCCTGCTTTTGAGTTCTGCCTACCCTGGGACTGAAGGGCTTTCCCATTTCTCCCAGTCCCACTGGAGAGGAGGTGGGCTAATCACCCATGCCTCTCAAGGTGGCTTATCAGAAAGGGCAGCTAGGTGGTGAAGTGGAAAAAGCACCTGCTCTGAAGTCAGGAGAACCTGAATTCAAATCTAGCCTCATACCAAACACTTGACACTTACTAGCTGTGTGATCCTGGGCAAGTCACTTAACCCCAATCGCCTTTAAAAAAAAAAAAAACCAAAAGATGGCTCATCAGACAGAATCCTAGCCAGATAGAGAAATACTGAGGAAATGAGTGAGAAAGAGAGGGAGGGAGAATTTAACCCTCTAAAGAACATCCAGATTTCTATTATGGGGCTTTGGAAGGAAGCCTAGAGGTCCTTCTTATGGCAGCCAGGTTGCATAGTGGAGAGAGGGTCTTTTCTAGGCCTCAGTTTCTTCATCTGTTAAATGAGAGAGGCTAGGATGAGATGACCTTCTCTGATTCCAAAGCCCCCATTCTTTCTACTGCTCCACAACAGATCCCAGTGTCTTCCCCTATAAAATGAAAAGGGAGGACTGGATGAACTGAAGTCACAGGATCGTACATTTAGAACTGAAAAGGATCTTGGCGATCACTTTTTCCAAGCCCTTCATTTTATAGATAGAGCACTTGGAATATCACCCCCCCCCATATGGGAGTACCCTATATTCAAGACATAGAGAGATGACTGTGACAGGGAGAAGACGGAACCCCAGGGAGATGTGAAAATGTTGCCGAGGCAGAACTTCTATGGCACAGTGCCTCTGGGACAGCAGGTGGTTTTGGTAAGAGGTGATCTCTCCAGAGAGGTTGAAAAGACAGGGAAGGAATGGTCTAAGTGCTAAGGGCAAGAGGGAGCTCCTGGGTTGGGGATAGAAGCCTGAGAGACAATTGAGCCTTTCAGAGAGCACCTGGCATTCAGGGCCCCACGCCAAAGAGACGGAGGCTAGAGTGACTTTAATTGACAGCAGCTGGTCGGAGGGGAGAGGCGAGGCCAAGGAGAATAGTGAGTGCCAGGTCTAATCAACCAGAACTGGCATTTGGGGGGCTCCAGTTTCTATCCACCAGGAATGGGATCTTATGTACTCCTACTTCCCCCAGCCCCACAGTACAGCTTGGTAAACAGCCCCATGGCCTGCTAATAGACCCCTCCCTGCACATCCCAGCCTTGAATCAGACCAAGAATCATAGCTGGGTCTGGTGTTCAGGGCTTCCAAGGGGGCAGGGACATTCATAGAACAAAGAGCCTGCCATTTCGGTGCCAGGCTGGGTTAATGCCCTTCCTCTGAGGTACCTGTATTCCTACCCCATCTGGCCCATCAGTGAGAGGATTCAGCTGTGGCCAAAAGCCCTTAACGCTCTAGGTAGGCCAAAGGTGATAAGGCCCAGCCACAATGGCTTTGGCCACACTCCTGCTGAGCTTCCGTGGGACTGGGCCCACCATGGCTAAGAGAGTCAGCAGCATCTCAACTCCTTTCAATTCACCTGGTCATAAAAGAGGATTTAAAGCAGCTACACATTCCACAGGGCTGGCCCAGCTTACAAGAAAGCCTGGGTCTATGTGATTAAGACCCAAAGAAATCAGGCACAGAGGGAGGGGAAGAAACTGAATTT